AAGAAGAGATAACAAATTCTTAATATATATGCCCCAACTTAGGTGCACCCAGTTTCATAAGGAAACTTTCTGGATATAAGCAAATGGAGTTAATAGCAACTCCATTGCAAGTACCTCTGCTCCCCAGCCCAGCACTATTTCTCCCTTTTACTCTACTTCATTTTTCTCTGTAGCACTTCTCAGCACCTGATAATCTATATTTATCCATTTTTCTCTCTCTTTCGTAATACAAGCTCTATAAGGCAGGGGCTTTGTTTTTGTTTATTCTCAACTCTTAAAACAGCATGTGGTATGGTTAGAGTCTCAAATATTTGGGAGATTCCTTGTTTACCAACTGTTGTGCCATGGTTTCTCTCTTCCTTTGTTCTTTGGCTAAAATTATCAATCTTTTTTTTAAAAACTTCAAGTGTTCCATATTCCATGAGGTCCTCACATGTTTGAAATGTGTACCTGCTGCCATAATTTTAAGACTTTATCTTGATTAGATATAGTAGTATGGAATCATATACTTTTTCCCTTCCCTTAGCACTTTGTAGAAATTGTTCTTTTGGCATTGAATAATCTGGGACCAGCCTGATTCCCTCCCCCCCCCCCCATTTAGGTGATTTTCTTTTTTGAGGTGGGGGGAGACAGAGACTTACTCTGGTGGCCTGGCTGGAGTGCACTGGCGTCATCTTAGCTCACTGCAACCTCAACTCCTGGGCTCAAGCGATCCTCCTGCCTTAGTCTCCCAAGTAGCTGGGACTGCAGAGGCACACCACCACCAGTGCCCCCAACCACAGCTAAGTTTTTCTATTTTTAATAAAGACAGAGTCTCTTGCTCAGGTTGGTCTCAACTCCTGAGCTCAATTGTTCCTCCTGCCTCGGCCTCCCAGAGTGCTAGGATTACAGGCGTGAGCCACCATGCCTGCCCTAGGTGATTTTCTTTTTATGCCTGAAAGCCTGAAGATTTATGTTTTGAAGTACAAAATTAAGCTATGTCTTGGTATAAGCATTCTGTATACAGTTCTCCTGGAACATGGGATGTTCTTGTCATCTGTGGATACAATGTTTTCTTTATTTTGGGGAAATTTTATAATATCTTTGAATGTATCTGCTGTTCTATTTGTTGGAATCCCTAAGTATGACAATGAGGTTTATGTTGGATTATTTTTCATTTTGTGTTATCTCTTCTCTGATTCTATTTCTTTGTCTTTTCCATCTTTATTCACCATGATTATATCTAGCCTTTGTGTCCTTGATTTTATTTTCTGCAATGTTTTATTTCTTGCTATGTCTAATGCTTGTATCTGTCCCATTGTGATGATATATTGATGTCCTCAATTTATTTCTTTCGTCTTACAATCTCCTTTTCATCTTAGAGTGCTATTTATCATCTCATAGTCAAGCTTTTATTTGATTAAATATATGTTCTTATTAATATCATTAATCAGTTGTGAAGAATTTAAGAATTTTATTTGTTCAGTTTTGCTTCCTTATGGGTTTTGCACTGTCTTTTGATGTGCTCTTTTCTCCTTGTTTTTAAGTGTATTTTGTGTGATTAGTTGTGTTTTAGTGTTTCATGGGTTTTTCTTTGACTATATTATGTTAATATGCCACATCATTGCCATACTATTTTATTTCATCTTGGTCATGCTTAGTTGACTCTCTTTGTATATTTTATTGTTAGAGAGTGGGTAACTTATTATTTAATCAATGTTTATTGAATGACTATTATGTATTAGACACTGTTCTAAGGGCTGGGTACATATCAATGAACAAAACAGACAAGAATCCTTGCCCTCATGGAGTGAATGCTATAATGGGGGAGGGGATCACAAACCAAATAAATAAGCATTAATAACATATATAAACATTTATAAATATAGTTTTCTTAGTGCTAAGAAAAAAAATAAGGAAGGAAAAGGAGATAGTGTCAGGGGAAAGAAAGAAGTGTGTCATTTTAGATAGAGAGGTGAGGAAAGACTTCACTAAAAAGTTGACATTTGATTGAGACATGTGGACATCTGGGGAAGAACACTCCAGGCACTTTAAAAGGCCATGATGCAGCAGAAAGATGCTTGGTGCCTTTAAGCATTGGCAAAGGCCAGAGAGTGAGCAGTAATATCCAGGGAGAGAGGCAGTGAAGGACCAGGTCATGCAGCGGTCCTTGTATGGACTTTTACTGAGAATGACAGAAGTCACAGGAATGTTTCAAGTAGAGTCTGACTTAGGTTCACAGGATCACTCTGGCTGTTGTGTTGAAAATAGGCTGTAGAGGGCGTGAGGGTACAACGAGGGAGGCCATTTAGAGGATATTAGAGAAATTCAGGCAAGAGATGATAATGATCTACCAGACAAAAGCAATGGCTGTGGTGAGAAGCAGTCAGATTCTGGTTGTATTTTAAAGGTATAGGGACAGTGTGGGATGGTCTGAGCATCAGGAAAAATGGAGTTGCCACTTAGTGGGGAAGGTGGGGCACTCAGTTTTGGATGGTTAAGTTTTAGATGCTTATTAAGCATCTAAGTAGAAATGTCTGCTTGACAATTGGTTACATAGGAGTCCATTCAGGGGAATGGTCTGAGCTGAAGATATGAATTTGGAAGTCATCAACTTATAGATGACATTTAAAGCCATGAAACTAGATGAGGTAACTATGACTATGGGCGTAGATAGAGAAGCAAAGAGATCCAAGGCCTGATTCAAGCACTTTGATGCAGGTTGCTTCCAATATTTTATAATTACAGACAGTGCTTCAATAGGTACCTTCATTCACAGGTGTTTTCATGAACATTGTTCATGTGTATTTTATCATTGTTAGATGTCTATCTTCCAAATGGAGCATTAGAAGTGAGATTGCTGAGTAGAAAGGTAAATGCATATGTAGCTTTGCGAGGTGTTCCCAAATTGTTCTCCAGAACAGTTGCACAGATCTGTACTTCTACCAGCAATGTGAGAGTATACCTACTTCCACATGGCCTCAGTAACAGAATGTCTTGTCATATTGGTGTTGAATTTTTAGCAATATAAGCAACAGGTCATTTTGGAAATCTTAAACTTTCTGTAACTTGAACTGTTTTTGTTTTTGCCATTAGAATATACCAAAATGGGCATTATTAGGTTCCTTGCATTTTTAAATTTTCCAGCACATACATATTAATGACTTTCTTTGTGTCATTCTAGGGCTTGCTCCTTTGGTATATTTGTCAGATGAATGTCATAATTTATTGGCAATAAGGTTTTGGATAGATGTCAATGAAGACATAATTAAACCTCATGTGTTAATTGCTGCAAGTAACCTCCAGTGGCGCCCAGAATCCAAATCAGGAATTCCTACATTATTTGCTGGAGATTTTTCCGTGTTTTCTGCCAGTCCAAAAGAGAGCCACTTTCAAGAGACGTTCAACAAAATGAAAAATACTGTTAAGGTAAAATTACTTTTCAGCATTACCACACATTTTGATAGTTTCCTATTTTGACAGTCAAGTATCAAGGAAGTAGCTGTTAATGCAAATTGCATAGTTGAAATAGTATTGATATACAAGGTAAAGTTTCATTATAAATTAATTGCTCATCAACCTCAAGAGATGGGGGAATGACAGCTACCAGGAAGAAAAGAATGATTTCAAGGGAATTGAGTTAGGAGAAATTGTAAGAAAGATGTTTAGAGATACAAACCATGTAGGCAAACTGGAAATTGCTAATAAGTATAATATGTATTATCTGTGGGTTCATAGCAGTTGGCAGTGTAATTAGTTAATAATATATAGATTACAAGTTTACATTTAAACTCCATATCTAGTGTCTTAAATAGTTTATACTTCTTTGGTTGGAATCAATCTTAAATAAGAGACACTACAATTATTTTCCATAAATCATGTATGCATTTTATGCCCAAGTCTATATATGCATCATATAATAATGTTAGCTAACATTTATTGTATTGAGTGCATACTATGTGTTAGGCTTTGTTCTAAACATGTCTCGTTTAATTCTTCCTATATCCCTATGAAATAGGGAACTGTTTTTCTATTTTTATCAGTGAGAAACAGATTAGAGAGATTAAATGACTTGCTTTAAGTCACACATCATGTTGATAGACCCAGGATTCATACTTAGGTCATCTGGGGCCGGGCACAGTGGCTCGTGCCTATAATCTTAGCACTCTGGGAGGCCAGGGCAGTATTGTTTGAGGTCAGGAGTTCAAGACCATCCTGAGCCAGAGTGAGACCCCCGTCTCTACTAAAAATAGAAAAAATTAGCCGGTCACAGATGCACCTGTAGCATGCACCTGTAGTCCCAGCTACTCAGGAGGCTGAGGCATGAAGGTTGCTTGAGCCCAGGAGTTTGATGTTGCTGTGAACTAAGATGACACCACACCACTCTAGCCTGGGGGACAGAGCAAGAGTCTGTCTAAAAAACAAACAAACAAACAAACAAACAAATAAATAAATAAGCCATCCAAATGCAGAGCCCAAAACGTAACTGCTATGTGATGCTGCCTCCCAGTAAAATTTTGTATTTCAAGAATTGGTAACTATACATTTGCATGGTTTACTCCAAAAAAAAAAAAAATAAAAAAGAATTGGTAACTAGTAAAGAATCCACAAAAAATAAGCCTCTTAATTCTGTAGTTTAATATTTGAAATACATGTTATTCAAATTTTATGTAAATTATATTTTAAAAACATTAGAGTAGCTGGCAGTATAAAGGAAATTTGTTAATATTTTACCTAAAGATTTGATGTGTATAGTCTAACTAGATAATACTCTGACTTATCTAGTTTTTAAATTGTGGGTGGGAGTTGCATTCATTATCTGGCTCCCATGCAGGGTACCTACTGTTTACCTCCAAGGTTTTCTGTGAGACTTGTTCAAGGACAGTTAACTAATCCTGCTGTTTTTAAAGTTTTATAAAATACTGTCATGAGTTAGGTTAAACCATATGAAATTGCTGGTATTTGACTAGTTGTGATTTCTCAAACAACAGCTTGATTTAGTTTAGTTTAGCCTGTATATTGTTTCAGTTAATTCTTGGAATAAACATGAGGTAGGCGAGGCAATTCTCTCATTTTACTAACCTAAGGAGTATGCTGTAGATGTTAGATGGTGTCCAGCTGTTAGGTAATAAATAGAGCTGGAACTTGAGCCCTAATCTTCCAACTCCAATCCAGTATCATATGGTACCTTTCTCATTAAACTAGATGGCTGGGGAGATCTTTTTCCTTCATGCACATACATACTCTCCCTCCTCCAACAATTCAGTTCCCCTCTATCGCTGATGTTGGTTTTGCATTTTTGCATTGGCATGTTTGACATTTGCCATCTAATTTTAGGTGTCTCGTTCTTTTTTGGTCTGAATTTTTATTTCTGGCTTTAAAGGAAATAATTTCCAAAAACATAAATATGTGGGTTTGCAATTTATAAAATAGCTTTCTAAATTTATTTTCTTAGAATATTGATATATTTTGCAATGATGCCGAAAACAAGCTTATGCATATGCTTAGTGCAAATAATCCCAAGTGGTCCACCCCAACTAAAGACTATACTTCAGAGCCATACACTGCTCAAACAGTCCGTGGTACAGGAAATAAGCTTCTGGTAAGTTACTGTAAATTTAATGAATTATCAATATTATATATGGAGGCAACATTATATTCTGATATATACCTAATAAACTTGGTAAAATGTAATTAAACTTATTTAAAAAGTGTGATAATTATATGGCTCCTATAGGTATAGATTATTTGGAATTTTAATCTTGTTTATTGAAGCAAAAATGTAAAACTCTTTGGGGGCAAATTTCACAAACAGATACTTTTGTTTTTAGCCTCCAAACTTCATGTGATTGAAAAGCCTTTTTTGCCTTTTTTTTTCTTTTTGTTCCATACAATTAGGGTTGTTTCTAAGCTCAGTTTTTTAACTCATGAAATCACAGTAGATGCAAATTAAGCTAAAGTCTTTAATATTGGCTAATGGCTCATTCTTAAATAGCTAACACTTGCTAAGTGTATCTATATTAACTCATTTAATCCTCATAACAACCCTAAGAGATAAAGCTGAGTAAGTCTTCACTTAATATCATCATTAGGTTCTTGGAGACCAATTTAAAGTGAAATGACATAAAACGAAACAAACTTTTTTCATCACTGTTGCAAGATGATGTTGAAGGAAATGACATTTTTCAAGGACCTGCTGTACATCATTTCACTTAAAGGTGCAGTTTCCAAGAACTTACTGACAACATTTAGTAAGGACTTACTGTATTGTCCCTGTTTTACAGATGGTAAGACTGGTACAGAGAGAGGTTAAGCAATTGCCTAAGGTCACAAAGCTAGAAACGTAGCTATTAGAACCCAGAAGTGTATGTTCTTAAAATGGCTTTACAGTGCTTATCTTTGTTTAACCTATCAATAATTTAAAAGAAAAGATTAAAGCATAAGTGACATCCCTACTTCCTATTTTATCTTTTACTATGATTACTCTTCATCTTTTTATATGTCATTTTTATATACTCTTATGCAAAATTATTTCCTTCTGGAATAGGGATAATGTGAATATCTCTTGAAATTATCTTACCTATTACCAGTTAGGGGAGCAAACACGTATGTGGTATTTGTGTGCTTAAATATTTTTAATGAAAAGTTAACTTGATTTTGTTTTATGTTAGTACATGATTATGATAGGCTACTTTTAATTTTTTATTAGATGCCTTCTGCGAATAGTGAGATAAATTGTCAAAGTCCTTTATCACTTTGTACGCCAAAAGGGAAGCCTGTTTCCACACCTGTATCAGCCCCAATGACTTCTAAGTCTTGTTGCAAAGGGGAGAAAGAGACTGAAGACCCAAAAAGCTGCAAAAAGAGAAGAGCCTTGGATTTCTTGAGTAGACTGCCTTTACCTCCACCTGTTAGTCCCATTTGTACATTTGTTTCTCCAGCTGCGCAGAAGGCATTTCAGCCACCACGGAGTTGTGGCACAAAATATGAAACACCTATAAAGAAAAAAGAATTGAATTCTCCTCAGATGACTCCACCTAAAAAATTCAATGAAATGTTTCTTTTGGAAAGTAATTCAATAGCTGATGAAGAACTTGCATTGATAAATACCCAAGCCCTTTTGTCTGGTTCAGCAGGAGAAAATCAATGTATACCTATCAGTGAATCCACTAGGACTTCTCCCACCAATTCAAAAGATTATCTCAGACTGAAAAGGCAGTGTACGACATCTCTGATCAAAGAGCAAGAGAATTCCCAAGCAAGTACAAAAGATTGTGAGACTAATATGCAGAACACAAGTATAATAAAAAATATATCTAAGAGATTGCAAAGGCGACAAAAACGAAAATGACAATAAGTTAGTTATTGACTCTTAACCTTTCCAGTTTGTAAGACAGATACAGTTTCAAACTATAGATCAGCATTTATATTGCAAGAAAAGAAACTAAATAATTTCAAGTGTACCCAGGTGTTTGTGTACCATAGGGATTGTCTTTGACTCTATGTTGACATACTTTTATTTCAGTTGTAGATCTTAAAACTGTACATTTATTAGCTAATCAAGGAAAACTCTTTTAAATCTTTATGATTGGATTTCATCACAAGTATTATTTTATAAATAAAATAAACATATTCTTTTCTTTTAGATTGTGTCATTGATTAAGTGAAATGAGTTTCTTAGTACAGTTATTTTGACATAGGTAATTCCTTTTAGTTCTTATTTTAGGGGATTATTTTTTAGAGGTAGCTCACTATGAAATAGTTTTCCGTAATGTCTATGTTGGTTGTGCTATAGTTCTATCCTGTTCAAAAGCCAGGATGAATAAGATATTACAGTGGTGTTTTCTTTTCACTGATTCTTCATTCTTAGAATGTCTACAAGAAAAATAGAACCTTTAACTCTAATTCCTTTTTATGATTCCATTGTGATCTCTGAAATTAAATTACTTCAATTAAAAATTCAAATACTTTAAGTCAGAAGCATATTTCATAGAGCTAATTTTTTTTAACAAAATGGTCATCCAGACTAAAACTTCTGAGAACATCTTGCTTTCAAATTGGCACTGATTCTGCCTGCTTTATTTTTAGCACTATCACAGGACCCAGACATACTCCCTTTTAAACCTACTACCAAGCAGATTAGTTCAATTTAAGATAATACTTTCATTATCTTAAATAATGATATCTGAAATAAGCTCTTATGCTTTCTTATATTTAAGAGAGAAAAGGGATATAATAGTTCTAACTAGGAGCTAATAGCATGGAGAAGTTCTTAAAGCAGGTGTTTTAATATGTCTTAAATGTATATATAATATCACATTCTCAAATCTAATTATAAACACATTTCAAAGTCAAAAATAAATCCTTTTAAAAATTGACATTTTTCCCTCCATAACTGTGAGCTATGATTTTTGTCTCCTCTAAAAAGCATTTTAATAGTCTATTCTGCTATTCTTTTTAACTTAAGTGTTTTGTAAGTCTTATTAATGTAAGTTTTATTCATAAACAATTGGGTCTTATGATACTAATCATTTTGCCAATGATCCACTCTAGAAAAAGGAATAAAACTGGAGTCTCAGGTAAACAGAAAAAATTATATTTATAAGAATTTAATCTTTTCTTTTCTGAATCCTTAGAAAAACTGCTAATTATCTCCTCCATTCTTATTCTCATTGAGACCACCCATTATAGAGAGATCTAATGCACACACTTCTTTTTATAAATTATAAATAACATCCAAGCTACATGAACAAAGTATGAAGTTTGAGTAGATGTATATATTATCCCAGGAAAGTGACAATTTAATGATTACAAAGTCAACATGTATGATAAGACATAAATGATAAAAGCAGTTTATTTATTCGACAATCATTTAATGGGAATCTGTTGCGTATATAGAGCACTTGCCAGCTGTATGAATGATGCAAACAGTAAACACAAAACAATACAAGTCAATGTTGGGTGTTCAAAAAATTACATAAATCAGGAGCCATGGGAGTTTAAAGGAAAAATAGATTACTTCTATATGGGATAAATAAAGTTTGCAGCATTTACTCAATTTTTATATTTCAAACCAGTATTTCAGGGATCATCTAGGAAAAGAGATAAATAGGCCAGAAAACTTTTTGTCAGAGCTATATAACCCAGAGCCACTGCTCCACAGTGGTCACTCACTTAGCCCAGGCGAACCAAAATCCCTAAGCAGACAGCCAGCCAAATCAGGAGGGCTTGGATCTGGCCCTTTTGATTGCTCCTATGGAATGAAGGTAATTCCCACTTTGGGCTCTGTGACACTTCTGCCCTCTACTAACCCCTATGAGTCAAGCCATCTGTATTGAGCTGGTTATGCAATAACCATTTTGACTGAAATGCCCAGGATTACCTGGGCCTGGAAAATAGCATAATTAAGTGGATTATTATTATTAGAGGGTTATTATGTGTTGTGCTTGGACAGAGAACTTAGCAAAACTATGATAGTTAGGATTCATTCAGATTTACCATTTTTTGTCAGCCAAACTTAGTTACTTAAAAGAGATACCAATTTTTAAAATGTTAATGGGCCGGGTGTGGTGGCTCATGCCTATAATCCTAGCACTCTGGGAGGCTGAGGCAGGTGGATCACTCAAGGTCAGGAGTTCAAAACCAGCCTGAGCAAGAGTGAGACCCCCGTCTCTACTAAAAAATAGCAATTAATTGGCCAACTAAAAATACATAGAAAAAATTAGCTGGGCATGGTGCCGCGTGCCTGTAGTCCCAGCTACTCTAGAGGCTGAGGCAGTAGGATCGCTTGAGCCCAGGAGTTTGCTGTGAGCTAGGTTGATGCCACGGCACTCTAGCCCGGGTAACAGAGTGAGACTCTGACTCAAAAAAAAAAAATGTTAAGGGAAAATTACAGATGCATTGCTGGTAGTCATCAAGATGTTGAGTAGATCTTAATAGTGTCAGATAATGGAATGTTAAAGTAAAATAGTCTTTCTAATTTATACATCAAATAATTTATATAAGCAAGTAAAATATAAGATTGCTTTTGTCTTTACCTTTATGCTTCCTATGTATTAAAGAAGACTGGCAAATAAGCTTATGATACATTAAGACTGATTATTGTATAGTTGAATTCCTTGGGATTTAGGTAATTAAATTCTTATATTGTCAAACAAAAAAAGATTCAGTGACAAATCCATATAAATGCAATACCATATGTAATTTTTAATAGCCATAAAAGCACCATCATATAGGACACTTAAAATAATACTTCACAGAGCATTAGAAAGAAGCTGTTGGCTAACAAGAAGAAATAGAGCATACACCCTACGTGGTCTTATCTATCATGGTCTCACACCAAATTAATCTAATTCCAACCTGTTGAGATTTAATTTGGATTCATAAATTTGGTATCAGTGTAAGAGGGACATTCTGGAGTTGTAGTAGAGCTCTATTGTCTTAAATAATGCCACATAAAACATCAACTGCTCATTTTGTAATGAGCATGGCTTTTACATATCCCTGTATGACCTGTATCTGGGGGTACTTAATTCCTTGCACTCCCAAACATTTAGCTGCCAACTAATTAAACAACGTGTTTATAGACATAATTTTAGAAGTCACTTAATTATTCCTCTTACAAATTGGTGTTTTATGAAGGAAGGCTTATTTTATTTACACAATTAGCACAACAGCCAAAATTTATTCAGGTTTAATCCTGTTGAATAAAGTGGCAGTTAAAATACAAAGTATGACTTTAAATAATGACACTGATTTTCCCCAGTAACTTGAGTAGCTATTAAGGATTCCACAAATACTTTTAACAGTGATACATTCATTCAGATAAAGGAATGATTTCCCAATGTGTCTACTTTGAAGGACAATGTTCCCTTAGATGTATACTTTCTAGCATATTAGTTTTAAAGGAAAATCAGTGTCATCATTAAGAGTCACACATCTTACATTTTTGGATACATAGATTATCAAAGTAGCAATGGCACTAAAACTTCCTGCCATCCACATCTCCTCCCCCACTTTTCCAACTTTCCTGATGGAGATAAATTTCCTGAAAAAATAGATTGTTTCAGAGAAAGTGGTACTGAAGCTTATATATAATATAAACATCTGATTTCATTTATGAACCTACATAATTGATTATGTTCTTGAGTATGTTCTTAGGTTTTGCTTTCAAATTAATTCTTTCTCTAGAGAAAGAGACTGTTTAATCAAATCTGCAGAATTCCCAGTATCAGACCATGCGTATAGGAGCACTTTAACAAATGCTTGTTGAAGATAATGAATATAATGACTTCTGCTCAGAAACTTTTGAGTTCAACTATGTACACTGGAATTATAGCTCTGACTAAAACAGAACAAGGAATAAATACCAAAAATTGAAGTAAAAACTGACTTAGGAAAATTTTGAATGGCTGTAAAATAGGCCTCTAATATCCATGGTGGTAACCACCCCTTCTGTTGAAAGAGCTCTCATTTGTGAAGCCGCCATGAGCCCTCCGGTTTGGAAACTCAGAATAGGTATTCCAGTATCCTGCATTGTTGGAAGGCAATGCATTATTCCTGTCCTGGTTCCTGTTCATTCTGCTTGGTTTTTCTGCATGAAGCACACTGTGAAAGGTAACATCATGTTCATACCGTTCTTTCATTCGAAGTATTTTTTCTCTTGGAACTCCATGAATGTTTCTTCTACATGGAAAAAAATGCAAATAGTTATTTAAGGCAGGATATCAAAATGAGTTACTTGCATTTTATAAGTCCTGTATTACTGCGTAAATACTGCAGTCCCCATTCTCAAAAGTTAACTCTGGCAAAAGCATGTCTTGCTGTGTGGTCCTCTTTCAGGCTCTGCTCCTCATGCTGTCCTGCACCCCCCCCCCATCACCCTGAGGCTAGCAAGGAGCTGAAGCTTCAGAAAGGCTTTGTTTCTGGTAATCTCAATTGTATGCTTCAAGACATAAAAGATAATCATATATCTGCCTGTTGATGACATGCATTTGTCATCTATTTATGTCAATCAATCCTTGATGTACTTTTAAGAGATGCTTATTAAAACAGTCTTAAATTCTAGTATGCACAAGAATCAACTGGGGATATATTAATAGTTAGAAATGGAATTACCAGAGATTCCAGCTACAAAATGGGGTCCATGAACTAGGATTTTAACCACCACCTGAGACGATTCTGATGGAAGTGGTCCATAGACCAACTCTGAAAACACAATCTGCTTTTAACCATAGAATGAACCAGCTTTACTCCTAACAAGTAAATTCTGATCTTACTGATTACATGAAGTTATTGACATTATTAAATAACGCAGAGAATATCAGAACCCATGCATTCAATCAATAAGTTAGTATTATTGGACACTCAATGCTTTATAAATTAGAAGCAGCATCTAGACCATAAATGAACTACAGATTGCTCAACATCTAAAGATCTTATTTAGCTTAAATGCAAAAACACCATTGACATGTGCAATCCCATGCAGAGGAAAGTGCTTTTAAATGTACATTAATGAAGAAGCATTTTAGCAGAATGTTAAATGCATCCTTTTAAAGGACCAAGACCAAGCCAAGATTTAGCATTTAGCATTATATTAGAAAACTGACCCAAAACTAAAGTCTTCACATTAATAATTCCAAAGTTATCAATTTCCAAGAATTACCATTTTTGGCCTGAAAACTACCATGTCCATTTCCAGCCTGAAAAGATTCTTTTGTTCGTTCTGAAATACCTGAAAATAGCAGGATACATAATGAGAAACTAGAAAAACAAAGAAGTACCTTGCTAACTCTTGAACGTTGAATTTCCAGCGAGTGTCAGGTTCTCGGAATATAACTTCATAGTTATTTTCAAGTGCCTGATTTTTCAAAAGTACATAAAACATTGAAGACATAGTATGTATGTTTGGGAATGTTTATGCTGCCATTTAACATTTACTACAAATCTTTTCTAAAATTTATTTTGTTTTACCAGTAATCCAATGCCTTAATTTATCATAATAACTTTAGTTGGTTCATTCCCATACTTAGCCATTCTCAGATGATAGTATGAGTCCCAATGATAAACTTTAGTCAGTTTTATCTAGTATGTAGGAAAATTGTAAAGGTTCTTTGTTTTGGGCATCTTTAAAAATAGATGACTGAACTAGTTTAAAAGGTTCTGAACACAGGTGTGAGCAATGAACTCTGGCTTTTCAGAGTCATGTAATATGATTCTATTGATGTACTTCTGTCAAATGCCTTGTCCTATTCTTGATGCCTTGCTTTAGAAGGTGAGTGCTATAGGAATGGAGCTCACGAAATAAAAGTGATTTCCCCTTTTACATAATCTTCACTTCAAAATGTAGCTGTCCCTGCTATGCAATACTGTTTGGTTCAAGGCCCAGTGCCCCATTTCCTTGGGTTTAGAAAACTATTACAATTCCATATAAACATACAAATATTCTTTGCATTCATAAATTGACTACTACCTTATCTAAAGTGAACTTTCTAATATCACTATTGTTTATTGTATTATAAAATACAGATTGGAAAGACCTAAGTAAAAAGATTTCTTCTCCATTCTTTAGATGGGCACTTCTAATTAGGGAAGGATTCAAATAGCATAACTAGGGGCCAGGTGTGGTGGCTCACGCCTCTAATCCTAGCACTCTGGGAAGCCAAGGCAGGAGTTCAAGACCAGCCTGAGCAAGGGTGTGGTGGCATGCATCTGTAGTCCCACCTACTCAGGAGCCTGAGGCAGAAGGATCACTTGAGCCCAGGAGTTGGAGGTTGCTGTGAGCTAGGCTGATGCCACTGCACTCTAGCCAGGGTGACAGAGTAAGACTCTGTCTTAAAAAAAAAAAAAAAACAAAATAGCATAACCGGAAAACATCTAATCTCTAAGTCTAATTAATAGCTGTGGATGGCTAAAAAAGATTATACATATCTAGAAAATAAAAAGTAAAATGACTTCCCCTAAGCTACTCCCAGTTAATCCCTAACTCTTGGTTTTGAGTTGTGCCTTAATTCACTCAACTATTCATATTTCTGTTCATTTCTTGCCATAGCAGACTATCGACATGAACTGAATGAAGTAACCGCAAAATTGTTGCTCATTCTTTCCTACATTTACCAAAGTCCAACAACCTCATTGTTAGAGAAAAGCACACCTGTAGGTATGCTGTTTTGCCCAAACAGTAAGAAGAAATCTAAAAACATGAGCCCAGCTTGGGAGATAGTCACTTCACAATTAACCAGGTGGGGATTCAGGGTGACACTCGGTGTCGTCCTGCCCCACCAGTGTGGTTCTGGATTCTTCTCCTTTCTGTACCCAATAGGGAATGAAAACATTATTACAAGAGATGAAATATGTCTGAAAAAAGATCAGATAGACTTGAAAATTAGAGACTAATGTGTACATTGTTCATCTTATTCTGACAATGGAGAGGTGAGTTGTATATGTATTTATATTTCTATTCTATCTCAGAAGGCTTACAGTGTTAATCCTAAATCTATTTTTAAACTAAAAAATTCCGTTGCCCTGGAACTAACAGGTAGCAACAGTGCACAGGGCTGAAATCCCTGGTCACCAAAGAGCTGTCCTGACATAGGCTGTCACTCTACTAGTAGTGTCATCTAGTCCAACATCTCTCTAGATTTCAGTGGGTGTTCCTCTGTATGCCTCCCCTTCGGAAAATAGTGAAGACATAAAACTATCAAGAATTCAGATCAAGGACTATTTAAAAACTCTACCCTGAGGTGAGATTAGCATCTCAGCAAATTTCAGCCATTGAACAGCAGAGAAACACTAAAATAAAACCTCTTTACCTGCTCCCTGGGAGAACTACTGTTAGTTAATATGAAATCATGGAAGATCAGAAAAAGAGGAAAGAACAAATGATTCAATTTTCTTACAAAATGTCCATAACTGAAAATTCAGAATGATACTTCTTCCTACCATGACTGCATAGGGCTTCATTTCCCAGGCGTGGAGGTTGGTATTATCAATAATAATGGGGGATATGCCATTCCTCATTGCTTTTCTTGCTGCAACACAATGTTACATAACAGTGAACAACATGCAACAATCAGAGAGAAGGGTGAGGTAATCCATATTTGTCATTTTTATTACAGGATGTCCTCATTACACAACTTCAGTGCCACTTATTTCAGAACCCATTATCAATAATTTTCTTTTTCCTGGAATCTAAGAAGGTTATGGTCTGGCATTCTGTTTGGGGGGGAAAATGGCAGAACTTTTGGTTAAGCTCCTTCCATAAAGCTTATTCATTCTGCAGCAGCTACAATCTATGTACACAATAGGGTTTCCCAGGAGTTTGGAAAGGAATTTGTCACCTCTTTTTTGATTCCATTCATGAGCTTCCTCCAGGAAGTCAGGATTGAACTCATAGGCACCATCTTCCCTGAAGAAAAAATCATCCGTGCTGAAAATCAGGGCTCTGGGAAAGTCATGTTGCAATTGCCTGGAAAGTGGAGAAATGAAAGAGATTTTTTTTTATTATATGCATAGTCCAGTAGAAACAATTTCCTTCCATCTCTAGCATTTAGCAGTTTATAATTCTGAGACCACCAGGTTTTGAGTTATTGAAATTCAATTTTAAAAGAGATGCTTATTATGTCTAGAAGGCGCCACTCCCTGACAGGAGGCAGGAGAGGGCTGAAAGGCGGCTCTGTGTGTTGCCAACCCTTGAACCTAGGAGGTGCTAGTCACTGCCACTGACTTCTGCAGCGACCAAGACTGACTCAAGTTGGGGGCCTGGTGACTGTCTTCCCTCTTGGGCACCAGTCCCCATGCCATTCCTCTCGGAGGCACCAGTGCCCTCCCGAGACTTGCGCGAGGGTGCCAGGCCTCCATGCTGCAGCTCTTCCCTCGGCCCCTAAACTCTTACATGGCCTGGGTCCCATTTCCTTGGAGCTCTGTTCTCTAAAAGGACCCAACTGAGAAACTAGTTGAATTTGGATAAAGACAATGTGTGTGTGCTGTCCTATTAGGTGACATATTTACAGTTTAACAATTACCTAAACCAAATGGGAAAAAGAGCACAGCAGGAGAAGGAAAGAGGTAGACCCAATTCTCCCCTTACCTTCCTAAACCGCTAGCACTCTGGGTCTAAATATGAAAATATCACAGAAAAAAAAGCCATCATGGAGTTTTTAAACTCCCCTTTTAAAGCAAAAACGAAACAAACAAAAAAAAGTGTGTTGAGATCTATACAAAATAACTTCAAAGAAAAGATGTTTCCATTTGAAATCCTTACTTGGACTATTTTTTTTTTTTAAGCTTCCATAATCACATGAACTTGGACTATTTTTTAGCAGAAAGTGGACATTATGCTCAGTAGTAGCTGGGGCCACCTCTGAGCCTCCTTTGCTCATCTGTAACAATTGAGCATAGCGTCGCCCATCTTGTGAGGTGATGACGAAGATCTAATAATGTGGGAAAACAGTGAGCACAACACGGAACACAGTGTATGTTTCTTTCCTTTTTTCCCACACAGCACTCACCAGCCTAACTGAACTTCAAAACAAATGCAACCAGCAAATAGAAAATATAGTCACATGGGTCACACTCAGAGGATATTTAAGACTTGGAGAAAAGAAGGTTGGAGAGTGACAAGTGCAAAAAATGCAAAGAGAAAGCAAAGCTATTCAACTTCTTTTTTGTTGTTCTTCTTCATCGAGAATTATCTTCAATCAGGAAGGAACAGAATAAGCACCAGCATTGGAGCCACAGACAAGAGAGCACCTAAGTTGCTCGGGCAGACTTGGGTTCAGTCCTCCACTGACTCCGGTTATGTGACCCCCATTTCCCTAAGCTTCTGTTTCCTTAACTATGAGACACATAATCCTACCTATTAAACTGAGCTTCTAGTAAGACTCAAATAAGGTAGGCATGGGGAAATGTTGTGCACCCTGTAAGACACTTTACAAATGTGAGGCACTGTTATTTTGTTAATAATATCAATAAGACCAAATTTACCAACCCAGACTGTTGATATGCTGTAATAATAAAATACACTGGAGTTTATTTAATGTAATCTTTGCGGTATTGCAGTAAATAAGGGAGAGATGAAAGACAAAAATAAAGCAAATTTTTCGATTTTTTTTAAATGATTAAATATACATTCCAGAAATGGTAAATATCTGTCAAATTCTTGAGAAGGCTTGATAGCATTTAGAAAAAAGGCAGCATAGATAGATAGCTGAAAAAGTAATTACAAATAATACATTTTCTTCTTCAGTGGACTATAGTGATAAACAGGAAAATTCATTGGCCATATCTTAATTTAAACAGGAAGTTGGGCCAGCCACAGTGGCTCACCCCTGTAATCCTAGCACTCTGGAAGGCCAAGGAGGGAAGATCGTTTGAGTGCAGGAGTTCGAGACCAGCCTGAGCAAGAGCAAGATCCAGTCTCTACTATAAGTAGAAAGAAATTAATTGGACAATTAAAAATATATAGAAAAAATTAGCTGGGCATGGTGGCACATGCCTGAAGTTCCAGCTACCTGGAGGCTGAGGCAGGAGGATCGCTTGAGCCCAGGAGTTTGAGGTTGCTGTGAGCTAGGCTGACATCATGGCACTCTAGCCCAGGCAATTATCTCAAAAAGAAAAAAAAAACAAGAATCTGACAGTCTTTCTTAATAGCTTTGTGGGAAAATGAAGGCCAGAAGGTAATATATTTCAATACCCAAAGAATATTTGTTAATCATCAAACCCATTAGATATTTATTGAGCATTTAACATGTGCCAAGTGCAATGTGAAGTGTTAAGGTACAAAATAAAGTAAGTAGCTGCTTTCAAGGAATTCACAGCCTAACCAAGGAGCCAGCCCCCTGGCCCCGCTAGGGTAGCCCACAGCTGCATGGAGGAAGCATCAAGAGAACTTCGGAACAACCAGTGCTGCCAGGGAAGGCATGGAAAGGAGAGAACATTTGACTTGGACCTTGAGGGATGAGAAAACTGTTGCCTCTTGGGGGAGAGGCTAAGAGCATGGAAGGTAAGAGAAGGAGGAAGTGAATGCTTGAGGGCTTGTTAGGATCCAGGGACTTCAGGGAAAAACAAGAACAAAGACACTGGGTTTAAAAGAAGCAAATTGTCTTTGAAACACTGTTTCCCATTCTGAGTGCCACACAATTTAGAGAGAAACTTGGCACGCTGGAATATGTCCACAGAAGAGCATGGAAACCACATCAGAGGAGCAAAGATCACCAAAGAAATGTGGGATGCTCATGGTGAGAGAGCAGAAGACACACGTGATAGGACACCGGTGATGGTTACCCTCAGGTATCGGAAGAGGGAGTGGACGTATTTTGCAGGTCAGCAGTGTGGGCTGGGCTCAGGTGGGCAGATCTGCAGGCCTGGCAAGGGGTTACCCGCGTGCGGCTGTGTACACGGGTGGGGACAGAGCAGTCTGAGCAGGCCTGCTTCGCTCTCTCTGGCTCCCGCTCCATCCACGCGGCCTTGCACCCTCAAGGAGCCCGACCCGGCCTCTTCCCAGGCGCAGTATTTCAAGGGGCAAGAGATGCAGCTGCTTGCTAGGCTTCCACCACATTGTTGGGCAAAGGAAGTCACTGTGCTGGCCCACGTTGCAGGGGTGGGATGGCTTCTTGCTGGAAGGGGAGCATAGAAAATGCGGCCACTTAACTGCAGATACAGAAAGTGGCACAAAGGAAGAGAGAAGAATAAAGAGGATTTGATGAAACAAATGCTTCCATATGAATGTCGATTATTTTAGTTTAAAGATAGATAAACTGAAAAGTCCAAATCATAGATCCAAACTTTAACTTCCAATGCAAATAATTATTATAAAGACACCTGAGGGGGAAAAAGTCGAAGGGTAACACCAGATGCATTTTTAGGCATATTTTATATTTGTGAACACTGTACAGTTTTAAAATTATTTTCAGAGGTTAAATAATAGCATATAATGTACTTCCCTTATCTCGTGTGTACTAAGTTAAGCAACTATGATAACTGGTTCCAAATTTTTGTTTTTCTTTTTGGTCCCAGATTTGATAGCCCTTTGAAATCTGGTTTCATTTGTTTTTCTGTGAAGTCTGCTATTGTAGATTTGGTTTTGTTTTTTAAATATTTTCAGAGTTGAAGTTTCCTTTTCATATATATATATATATCCTTGTCTACTCTTGTTCTCCTCTTTATGGCTTATGTTACTGATTAGACATTAATACTCTTATTTCCTTCAAAAGACTTAAGGCATGAGTGTCTAACTCATATGTTATTTGAATCCTACTCCTTAAATGTACATTAATGAAGAAAACAAAACATATAACTACTTCCCTTTTTGACTGCAAAATTTTACCTTCGAATAAAAGTTAAGTTGTTCAGGACCACAACAGGAAAGACCACCTTCTCATCCTTTCCATCCTTTCAGAGTCATACCTCTGACTGTGGGTTCTACAGTCCTAACTAACTAGCAAAAGTAAGAGTGTTTTCCACCTTCAAGGCGCTAATGGATTTTTTTTTTTTTTTTTTTTTTTTTTTTTGGTGTCTGGATCTTCCTGAATGACCGTTCCTTCAAAAACTTGTTTTCTTTTTACCTAAACATTAAATTAGCACTGGCAGCCATAGTAGCACATTGAATATGCAGGACAATAAAAACTCTACTAGCTAAATAAAGAACTGATTACATAGACAACCTTGAGAGTCTCAAACTTAAGTGTAAGCAATAAATACCATTCCATCAGCTTCAGAAGTGATGAGGAAAATGCCCCAGCTCTATCTTTCTTTATGGTGGTCAGGAGCCTCAAGCATTAGGGAAATTGAGAGAATGAAAATAAAAGAAAAGGGAAAAAATAGAAAGACAATTACTTCCACATAACCTTCACCTTCCCCACTTCCCCCTCGAATTCACTTAAAATCACTACTATGAGAGAAACTCAGTACTAATTTTCATTTCACAACTTATTCTTTTGTGTAATTCTTTATTTAATAATAACCATAGAGAGATATTTAGATAACTATTCAGCCAGTCACTCACTCACAGAGAAAGTCCAACACTGCTATGTCATTTTAACTTGATCCTCAACTTTTTATTAGGGAAATTTTCAAACATGGAAAAGTAAATAGAATAATGGCATCAATCCTCATGTACCCATAACCAATTATCATATGGCCATCTTGTTTCATCTACTTCATATTTCATTTCACCAAATATCTCATCAGTGTTCACATTTCCCTGGTTGTCTTATAAATGTTTTCCTACAGTTGGTTTGTTTGAATCAAAGGCCACACAAGATCCACATAGTGTATTTGGTGCCATGTCCCTTAACTCTCATTTATTCTATAGTTTTCTCTCTCCTTTTTTATTTCCATCTCAACTTTTCTTCCACAACCTTTTAATTAGAAAATATACAAACCTAGAGAAATGAACTAAAAAACAGTATAATAAACACTGCTTACCCTTCATCTAGTCACCAGATGCTCACATTTCTCATTTATGTCTCTCACATATATATTTTTGAGGAACCCATATGAAAATAAGTTGCAGACATCATGACACATCACTTCTAAATTCTTTGTCAAATATCTCTTAAGAATAAGAACAATCTCCTGCATACCATGAATTCCATTATCACATCTAAAAAATTAACACTAATTTATAATATGAGTGTTTTAAAATTTATAAATGTCCCTGCTAATCCCCAAAATATCTTTCGTAGGTTTCAAGTACTGCATTTGGTTATTATGTTATTATTATTCTCAGTGTCCTTAAATCTAGAACTGTCCTCATGCCCTTTTTGTTTCTCTAGTTGGCTTGAGAATGCCCCATATTCTGGATTTGTCTGGTTGTTTCCTTGTGATTAAATCTAAACATTTTTTGGAAGGAAAATAGAGGTAACATTTGTGTACTTCTGATTGCACGTAACAACAGTTTGTCCCATCATGCTGTTTGATCACTTGGCTAAAAGGTGGTGTCAGCAGACCTCTCTATTGGAAAGGTACATTGCTTCCTTTGTAATATTAAGTAACGTGTGGGGGTGAAACTGGGAGCCATGGAGAGAGCCTGTTCTCCAACGACCTTTCCCTCAACGATCTTTACATATATTTCTCTGATCACTGCCTGAATCAATGACTACGTTGAGAATCACAGAACTTTTATTTTCTCATTCTATAATTTCCTCTATATTTACTAGGTGACATTGCCTTGTAAAGAAGAGGTTTCTATCCCTCCTTTTTAAATCCTTATCATTGTTATTCTTTATGATGTTCACATTGTTCCAAATTTAGCCAGTAGGTATCTCTTCAAGCTGGCTCCTGTGTCTGTCTACACAAACTCTAAGAATATTGTTTTTCCTTTCTGATTAGCAAAGAAATAGATATTCATTGCAGAAAATTTTGAAACAAAAAAGTGGATCAAAGAGGGGAGGTTCCTATATTCCCCATCTAAAAATAATTATTAACATTTGCTCTTCTTTTCAGGATTGAGATATAGATATATATGCACATAGATATATATGATTTCTTTTTAGCACATCTGTTGTTACATAAAAACAGAGACATAATGTAGAGCATACCAAATTTCCACCAAATTTTTTTCATAGCAAATCACTTCCCACCTCATGAAATATTCTTCTATGACATAATTTTTAATGATAGGGCATACTTAAACTTATTCATATGGATATACCATAATTTACCTAACCAATGCTCTATGTATGGTTAGGCATTTAGTTTGTCCCCAGCATCTTTGATTACCAGCAAGATTAAATATTTTTTCTTATGTGTGTCGATCATTTAGAGATTGCCACTTTGGTTCAACAGCATTTCTTATGTACTGCGATTAATAAACCACTCTATTAATTGAGAGTTTACTTTCGTATTGAAAAATGTCTACGTTCCCAATTACATCAGACATAATAACTTTTAACGTTTATAATAATCTCTAACATATAAAAAAAGAGCCCATAAATTCACATACAAAATCACACCATTACACATACCATCCAAAACAGCGCAGCACACCAGCACCTCAATTCACAGGCACACGATCCACTACATCACCACACACATATCTGGACAAACAAGACCCACCAAAAAATGCCCACAAATATGTATATATATTTTTAGTTGGTCATTAATTTATTTCTATTTTTGGTAGAGACGGGTCCTCGCCGCAGGCTGGTTTCGAACTCCTGACCTTTAGCAATCCGCCCGCCTCGGCCTCCAAAGTGCTAGGATTACAGGCGTGAGCCACCACGCCCGGCCTCTTTTATTTTTAATTTATGCCTTTGATAGTACATCTAGAACAGTCTTTCCCACCCCAGGATTATGTAAATATATCTGTGTCCTATTACATTTTCTTCCTCCATCCATCTAAAATTTTATGTTGGTCTGTGGCGTTAAGGATCTAACTTGATTTTTTCTCCACACAGTAACCTGGTTATCCCAAAACCATTGACTGAATAATTCATCCATTCCTCATTGTTTTGAAATACTTTTTATTACATACTAACTGATTACATATGGCTGGGCACTGTTACTGGACTTTCTGTTTTGTTCCATTAAGCTTGATGTGCAAGTTCTTCATTATTTTCTGTTCTACTATTTTCTTATTTTCTTGATTATATTTTGTAGTTGAGAATCCTCCCTTTATAAAATTTATACTTTTAAATTATTTTCTCATCTAATTTTTGTTGAAGAGACATTTCTGACCAATATATATATAAAAAAAAAGATATACCTTTCTTGTTGTCTTTGATCCCTGTCACGGTAGACTAAAGTTGATCCAATAAATTCTCTTTTTTTATAAGAGTGCTAAGCACTGAATAAAGAGATTGACTATATTACCTCACCTTAACCTTTATAATAATTTATATAATATTTATAATTAAGTATAATAAGGAAACTAGAGCTTCAAGAGCTAAAATAACTGGCTTAGGTTTACAGAGCTTGGCTGTGGTACTGCCAGAATTTCACCCCAGGCTATACAGAGTCAAGGCATGAGGTGTTGCATATTGTGTAAGCGCCTGTGAATCTGAGAAAGCCTTTCTGTTGTCTTCGCATATTACCAACTAGGCTGGATGAGAATTACTGGATTACAATCTTTTTCAAATACAGGTTTCAGTTAGCAGTGGGTTGACCTGCATTGAGCAGAAACCCCAGATAACAATGGCTTAAATAAAATTAAGATTTCAATATCTTGTGTATAAAAAAATCCAGAGGTAGAATCCAGGGCTCCTAACCCAACTCCATGATTGACATGGACCCAAAGTCTACGATCTTTCTTAAGCACGCGGCTTCCATTCTTGAGGGCGCCTTCTGGTGGGCACAGGTAGCATTGCAGCGCTAGCCTACACATCTATATTCCACACAGCAGGAAGAGGCCAGGGAGCCTTGAACACTGTAGTGGGCACATTGCCATGCCCAACAAAATAGGGTTGCTAAAGAAGAAAAGGCAGTTAATTAAACTTAAATTGAGAACAAAATACATTACCGGATAATGCTCTAAGAAATTAATTTATATTTTTTACACTGAGCTGAGTCTCAAATCAAAAATATGTTCTATTATATCTATAATTGTGCTCTTGGTTAATTATTCTGTTATATTTGTTATGTTATATCTTTCACATTTGTCATTCTGCAAACTGTTGATTTTTCCGCATGTTGATTCTTTACTAAACATCTATCTCAATAAAGACTTAATTCCAACATTTACTTTACCTTTAAAAATATATATCTCAATTAGCTCCTTAATTTTCTGCTTCCTTAGTCTTATTTATTTTACATCCTTCATATTTCAGACTCCTTTTCACCATTTTCTTTTATCCTTCATATCAGAGAGAGGAATTTTGGAAAAAAAAATGTAAATATAAAGACAATGGGAATAATATAACAAACGCCTATATCCCCACTGCCTGGAGCTCATAATCATTAACATTTTTTCACATTTGTTTTGTTGGCTTAAAATTCAACGGCCTCCCCCTACCTTAACTCTGGCAACCCAAACACCTTTACTAGGCTTCTCTGTCCCCTTGTCCACAGCACTTGTTACCTCCTAACATAACATACAATAACCTTGTATTTTATATCCATTTCTCTACCTCTGGCACACAAGGTCCACAAGGGCAGGATCTTTGTTTTGTTCACTGATGATTCCCAAGTACCTAGAACACTGCCTGGAACATAGTAGACACTCAGTAAATATTTATTGAATTAAAAAATGAAGGAGCAATACATGTTTATAGATCTATTCATGTTGACATATAGACTTAGTCCATTCCTTGTAACTGCTACCTAGCACTCCATTACCAGCTACCAGCTAACATTTACTAAGTGCTTATTGTGTGCCAAGCACTATTCTAACGGCTTTCTCATATAATGCTCAAAAAGACCTCGGAAATAAGCACTGTCCTTAAGCCCCATGTTACAGATGAAGAAATTAAGACCACTGAGTGGTACGGATGGATGGAAACCTAGGCTTCTGGCTCCAGAGCCCCACATCAACTGCTACGCTTGAGCACAATAAAATAAACAGACATCTCTAGTGACATTTAGGTTGCTTGCAATTTTCCCTCTCATGAACAAGTTTCAGTGGGCTTCATTATGCCTATCTCTTGTGCATTTGTGGACAATTCCTGGGGATACTGATATCAAGTGGAATAGCCTCGGGATACTTTGTTTTTCTAGAGGACAGAGAGATGCTGTCTAAAATGGCCTCCTTTCCTTCAGAAAATATTTTTCTCTGATAGAATTTATGTTCCATGAAGGCAGGGATTTTCTCTCTTGTCTGCTGCTCTATTCTAAGACTCTAGAAGAATGCCAGACACGGAGGACGCTCAATAACTATTTGGCGAATGTATGAATGGCTCTTGCATGTAATGCTTTCTCGCCCTAATTAATGCAAACTCTTTTATAGGGGAGAATTTCTATTTACTCATCTTTGTACAGTGAGAATTTTACCCAAACCTGAAATTTATCCCCTAAAGGAGACTGGGGGAAAGGATTCTTCTTGGATCCCAGCACTTCCTCTGGATGCTATTGGAATTCTCCTCCAGGACTTTAAACTGGGAGGTAGAAAACAGGTTCCAGGGCCCAGCAGCCTGAGGCCAGGGAGGGAGCCAAGGCTATCGATGACGTGGGCAGTCTCCCCTGAGGCCTGACCTTCGTGGTGCTGCCAACCACCTCGCCAGGGCTGAGCCCTGCCCTTGGAGAGTCAGACCTCAATCACTGCCACCCTCAGTGTCACCAAGCCACAAGTGGCTAAGGGGGCGCCAGTAAAGAGTTCCCGATCTGTCCCACTCACTCTTGCCTTTACCCCTCCCATGCCACCAAAGTAGGTCATGTTTCTAAGATCCAAAGCCAGACTCCCAGATGGCCCTCATTCTCATTTGTCAGTGCGGTCCCGCTTACTCCGTCAGGCAGAAATTCCTTTCAGCACCTTGCACGTGAACAGCGCCCTCTGTCGACTGTCGCAACGGTGCGGGGTTTCCCCTGTGTCTGCGTTCTGTTGGTCAATTCATCATGCTCAGATGAAGGAACCAGGCCTACCCACCTCAGCACTAACTTTTTTTTTTAGCTATCTTTTCCCAAAATGTTGTAGATTAGTTACAGATAACAGAAGAGGCTATAGCCGTACAGGAAAACTGTCACTTTGGGCACTCTCTTGACTGCTGCTTAAATGGGAAAGCAGCTGCATCTTTGATCCTAAATTTTAAATTCCTTTTTAGTGTAACTGTTAGGTGAAGGAGCTGACACATCAAACATTTCACATGGAATCGTCATCTTGTGTACTGAATTGGAGAGAACTGTGGAATGAGTGGCTCTATTCCTTCCTTTTCTCCGCGTTTTTCTCATCTGTTCTCCACTTCCCATTCATTCTTCCACATTTCTCTTTATGCGGATAATCTCCTCTTTGGTCTTGTTCTTTACTCAAGAGCCATGCTGACATCTAAGCTTCCTCCTCTTAGGAGGCTTCTCACATTGCCTTTCATTAACAAATCCATTCATCAACTGATCAGTGAATGCCTATTGTGTCCCAGGCCTTCTTTTAGGAGCTGGACAGAATAAAGCTCCTGAGCTCATGGAACTTATGTCATATCTCATGGCTTATGTTCTAGTAAAAGAAATGGATAACAAACAAAAGTTTATGTCAGCTGGTGCCAATGCCAAGAAAAAAAGAAAGCCAAGGTGCAGAGGAAAGAATGGTGAGAGGCGCTACCGCAGGTGGAGAAAGCCCCCGCAGACCCTCTCCTTCGATATACCCTTAAAACACGTGGGAAGAGAATGTGGAAAGATCCTAGCTATACAATCCTACTTCAACAGGACTCCTTAATGACTGTGAAAGTGGCGGATGTGTGTTTCTCCACCGCATCCTGGTAATATAAGACCACTCAGCTTACTATGAAATCTTCTGGGTCTCAGAATCGAATGCGGGATTCTCCAATCCTAATGTCCTCAACTATGAGATAAAAATGACATCCTAGGATCATTGTGAAGATCCAATAAGCCAGGGTCTGTAAAGGGCCAGGCACAGTCAGCACTCAGTAAGCACATCCTTGTTTTTCTTTCTCCATTTCTCCCTTCCCCTTTTCCAGTCTCTTACCTTGATTAAAAACAGATAGCCTTCTCCCCAAGCCATACACATGATCCGACAGAGAGCCTTATGAAGGAACAATTAGAAATTAGACTCATTTTTCTTTATTATACTACTTCCTCAATCCCAGAGGGCCTATATATCTTTAGATAACTTCAAGCAATAAAAAAATAATTTCTTATTGGGTTTATCTAGTCTGAATGGCCCTATTATACAAAGAAGGGCTCACTGAAATGCCAAGAAGGAACTAAGGCATTGTGCTAAGTTAGAGATATCCTCCCAGGGGAGCAGATGAGGAAGAGACTTTAGACACCCTTGGCAGTTGGGAGTTGACAGCAAACATCTCTCTCCAACTCATCATAATCAGAATAAATATGAATACTTATTTAAAAATCTAAATCTCTTCTCTTCCCATTGCCCTCAATGGACCACATAATAAATTTCCTGGTGAGTAACATTTTTTATACTAGGAAAAACATATCATTAATATTAACAAATAATGATAAAATGTAGCTTCCTTGCCCTGAGAGCTGAAATCCAGGTTAACATAGCCCCCTTACTAGGGCCTTTAAGTGTTTTTCATTACACAACAGATTAAAACCAACCTCATTACCCTTTGACCAGGTAACTCCCCCTACCCTCTTCCTTTGGGCTTGAAGAAAAAGCTCTGGATGAGAAATAAGGAGACTCCATCCCCATGACCTCGATCAAGATGTTTAACTTCTCAGAGCTTAGTGTCTTGGGTTTGGACTAGATGAACTCTAAGGGAATCTCTATACATCTCTTGAGCTTTGCCCATGAAAGTATTCTTCTTCCATTTTTTCATCCATTTCTACCTCCCCTCAAATCATAACCCACCCCTGCAATGTTCGATTGCCCCAATTCAGCAGGGTCTTCTTCCATTGTTCCAGGAATATGGGGAGGTGAATCTCCCGTACAGTTGGGCAACCTTTTCTCACACAACCTTTCCAATAAATGATTACAAACACACACTGTATATTCCCACTCTTTGTTAAACATATATAGCATTTCCAGTTTTTATGCATCCCAACCTTGCAAAGAGGTTGCAAGGACTCTCAGCAGTGGGGAGAGAAGATTTAGGACATACCTTAGGAAAATCATGAAAAATATGAAAAGCTAGGAGTCATTTTCCAAGTAGACCTATGGGACTAAAAGATGTCACCTGTCTGATTCTCTATTGTGATAGTCACAGAGTTGGAATACTGCAAATTTTCTACTTTGACCTTGCTTTTGTTAATAAAGTCCTGGCCCCATAAATAAAAACATCAAGGTTCAGGCCTGCTGGCCAGCACTGCAGAGTATGCTCTGGGGTCCAACTACTCACTACTGAGCCAACCAGCCCCCCATTCTCACTGATTCCCACATCCCACTATTTATTTGGCTATAAAGTATACCCTTCTCCCCATCTGTCTTACCATCGCATCACATTAGGAAAGCATCCTTTCACTTTCTCGGAAGGCTCTAGTACCAAGAAATAATGAAAAGGTATTTCTCTTGATGGAAAATTCCATGTTATCCAGAGATATGAGTAAGGAGGAAAGACAGCTGTCAGAAAGCATCCTTTGAGCCTAACTGAATCCATGTTACAAACCATTTGTAATGGTGCCAAAAGAAACCAGAACATTGCGAATGATGCAACATGTACTGGAGCCTGGTCCCCAGACTTTGTTTTGATTGATATGTAAAGATTCAAAAAAATTCTGAGGAAATGACATAAGGTTGACAACTTTTAATTTTTCAAATAAGGCCATTTTTAAAAAAAGAAAGGCTACAGTCTACTATTGCCATTTCATTTCATTTGAAAAGGACGTTTTAGTGGCATACCCATACAATGGGATAATCCATTCAGCCACAAAAGTGATGAAGTTCTGTCACATGCTACAACATGGATGAACTTTGAAAACATTAAGCTAAAGTGAAACTAGCCAGATACAAAAGGACAAATGCTGTATGATCCACTTACATGATGGCATGTAGAGTAGGCAAATACACAGACAGAAAGTAGCTCAAAGGTTACAAGGGGGTAGGGAGAGGAAGGAATGGGAGTTATTGCTTAATGGACACAGTCTCTGTTTGGGGTAATAAAAAATTTTTGAAGTAGTGGTGGTGGTTGCACAACAATGCCACTGATTTGTACACTTAAAAATACATCTTAACACACACACACACATACACACAGTGGAAAGTACAGAGGTTTGTCCACAGATGCTTTGAGGTAGGAGGAAAGGACTGGTGTGGATCCACGTGGGTTTGTCAGTTCAGCTCTGGAAACAAGAGTTCTGGCTCATCTGCAGAGAGTGAAAGGGTCTTGGGATTGGAATCCCATTTCTTCTGACAAGAGCTCTCTGTTCAGTTTTTAACGTCCTGGCCCTGGGTGCACCCAGCCAGTACCCTCACTGCAAAGAAGCCTCCACTTCGGTCAAAACCGGAACACCTAGCTCCTTCCCACGTGAGGAGTGTTGCTATCCCTTCTCTGCCCGGCCACATCCTCCCCATCTTCAAGGCCAGCCCAAGATCCACCTCCACATGGGGGACAGTCTCCCCCCCTAATGAGCCTGCATTTTCCTCACTGCCTCCCCTGGCCTTCAACAGCACCAGCAGGTGAGCGGCTGCTCCCACTGGCCCTTACTTACCCACAGCAGGGCGCGGATTACTGCTTCCCACGCGTCATCTTGTGGAGGCGCCTTCTCTTAGCCTTATTTGGTATCTGCCTCACCAAGCAAGTGCCTGCAGTCTCATGAGTGCCCAGTGGCCATCGTTATTGTTGATTAGTAACTAATAATTAACAATAGTTGGTATTTATGTAGAAGGCGCATTCCACAGTGTTTCACATACATAGTGGTAGGTTACTGTTTACCATAGTAGCTGAAATCCTACCAGTAAACTTATTAATGGAATATTAGATCCATTTTAAAGAAAAAGAACCTGAGGTGTTAAAGATCTAAGTGACCTATGCTAGTTTATATGCTAATTAATAAAATTAATCAAAATTAATAAAATAAGTCACTAGTATATGTCCAACTGAGAATTAACCCAGGAATTCCAGCAGAATAGAGCATGGAAAAATAAATAAATAAATAAGAGAACCCAGGAAAGACTTTTGTACATAAAATGACAGTTAGTTATGTAATAAAAGCTTTGTCACACAAACTTGGTCTTTCTAGCCAAGCCATTTAACAAAACATTTTACTTAATAGTGCCTTTATTTTCACCTTTAAAAACTGAACAAGTAATATGTATTTGTTGTAGAAAAATTAGACAATAAATCAAAGGGGAAAATTCATAATCCCACTATGTAAAGTCAACAACTATAGATATCTATCTTCTCATATATTTTTCTTAGAATATATGTAGACCCTTTCTGTGAACAGAAAATGGGATGTATGTATGTTATCTTTGTAACAGACTTTTTAACTTAATGGGGGCTAAACATATTTGCATGTCAAATCTCTATCTGTGTTCCCATTAATGACTGCATGACTTATAAGCCAAACCTCAACTTTTGTGTAATTAAGTTGCTCGCATTTTTTCTGTCATACAAAAAACTGTGAACATTCCTCTATCTTCATGCACTTGTCCAGTTATTTATTTCCTCAGGATGAATTCCTGGACATACATCATACATGTCAATGGTAAGAACCTATTTTTAAATGTTTTCTTTTAAATAAAATAGAGGTGGTAAAGCAGATTTAGGGAGCACACTAATTTTTTAGTACCCTGATATGCTTCAAAATTTTTAAACCAGGTAAGATTCCAACTTCTTTTTAATAAAGTCAAAGAATTTAAATAGTTGTTTTCCACATTTTAGCCACTTCAAACTATGAAAAACATAGATAGGTGAGAAGTATAGAAATCTAACATTGATTTGGAAGACAAGACATATCCTAATTTCAAAAAAGTTTTATTAGTTCTTTAATCAAATGAGAAGTAAAGGTTAAGCAGAAAAAGATGAACCCACATTTGTAAAAAGCGATTTCCTCCAATTTTCAAAGAAAAACTTTTTTATTAGTCTGATTTAAGAAATACATGTTCATCATAGAAAATTTGGAAAATACATATAATAGAGAAAACGTGAACTTCCCAGAATCCAACAATACACAAATAACCTTACAGTTTTACTGTTTTCTATACACGTGTATTTTTAAGCAATCCGCCATTCTTCTACTCCCCCGCCACACCCCCCAAAAAGTGGGGAAGGCAGCTCCTGAGGGCCACACCTGAGACTTGCTCCCCACCATTCTGTCCCCACTGCGGCCGGCCGCTGCTGGGCTGTGGCCCTCTCCTTGCTGACTTCCCAGACTTATACAGATGCGCAGCCCGCCCACAGCATGCCAAGGCTCCTCAGCTCCCAGAACGCCAGTGCCTGGCCAAACAGAGCTCAAAGCCAGCTGCCGCCTTCACTCCACAGCCGGCTTCTCCCGGTAACACTGAACATTTCTCTCAGCTCGTCAACAGCTTAAGCAGTGGCTAATACCTCTTAAAATGTATATAGCACATTAAAGTTTAAAAAGTCCCCTCCCAAAAAAAAAAAAAAAAAGTCCCCTCCCACACGTTTAATCTTCACAACAACCCTCTCTGGCAGACAGGGCAGACATTCCCATTTAAGGAGAGGACATCGAGGCACAGAGGGGTTGAGTGAAGAGCAAAACTGGTGAGGGGCTGAGTTTGGATGTGGAGCCATACATTGACACCAAGCTCAGAGCTCTTTGCCTAGCTGTTATTAGCAAACTATTTTTAAGTCTGACAAGTGGAAATTAAGAGTCAGAACGATCTTCAATAAATCCTCTAATCTCCTCTCAGTAGACACATATTTAAGGAACATAAAGCCCAGAGAAGCTAGGTGATTGCACAAAGTCACCAGCTAGTTAGTGATGAAGTAGATCTAAAGGCACAATCTTCAGACTCCCAGGACAGTGCTCACTCCAGTCGTCCCTAGAGATGTCCTGTAATAAGCTGGTCTCTCATCCGGTGTCTTCTGCTTAGCCAAATGTCAGTCAGGAATTA